GGTCCCTTTTTGGGACCCCCCCCCCCCCATTTTTGCGTATGTAGCTCTTAGGTGCCCCCTCAAGAATAAATTATCATTCATAAACCATTCTTCACTATGACGTGAAATACATTTAATGAAGTATGGTCAACGTATTCCAGTGTTTCTTAACCCCAATGCCCGACTATTTTTAGTGACAGTGGACAGTGAGTGAGTCGGTGAGCTGCTAAAATTTGTGTTACCGAAAATTTGTTTGAAAGAAATTTCGTCGACGGAAATTTGGTCGATTTTTTTATGTTTAGTTCACACGATCAAATTTTCGTCACATTTTTTTTTTTTTGAACGCACTATCATATAATATAGTTAAACAAAATATTGTGTTCAAAAAGAAAAAAAATTAACGTGTGAACTGAAAATAAGATTAGACCAAACTTCCGTTCAATAAAATTTCCGTCGATCATTTTTCCGTCGACGAAATTTCTTTCAAACAAATTTCCGGATACGAAATATGTGACCACACTATTGTTGGGGTGTGGGGGGGGGGGGCTTCCCTGGCTACGCCAAGACTGTGTATTTGTTTCAAAATGGTGGGGGGGGGGGGCGATGTAGTGTTAAAATTTGATTTTTTAAAAAAAGTCTGTCTCCTTAATTAAATACCCATGATGTCACAGATTTGTTGAAAAAAGACGAAATTTCTTTCAAACAAATTTCCGGATACGAAATATGTGACCACACTATTGTTGGGGTGTGGGGGGGGGGGGCTTCCCTGGCTACGCCAAGACTGTGTATTTGATTCAAAATGGTGAGGGGAGGGGGCGATGTAGTGTTAAAATATGATTTTTTAAAAAAAGTCTGTCTCCTTAATTAAATACCCATGATGTCACAGATTTGTTGAAAAAACGTTGACATTATTAGATATTAAAGAGTGACAGAATTTCAGGATGATTATGAAATGAGCATAGTTTCTGCTGCAGACCCCCCACCCTTGTCCTCACCGATTCTGACATCCACGACATTCTCTCTTTCCCTTCCTCTCATTGTTTTCGGCTGTGATAAAAATCTCCAAGACCTTCGTGTGCGTCCTTTCTCTGAACACTTCAACAGAAGGGACCACAAAGGGGCTGCGAATTTTACTACAGTGCGATCGTGACCTGTGCAAACACACCAAACGGGGTGAATTATGAAAACAAGCTGATCCGGACTTATGGAAACATGACACCACATGGCATGACTTTCATGTACTGATTAACCTTTTAAACCTTTTCTCCGCAACCTCCTCGTTACGCCCAATCCCAGTGGACGTACTTTTTGCTCGCTTCTTTCCTATCATGTCTCTCTTCTGTCACATTCCTCTGGCTGTCTTGTCGGATACTACATTTCACCAAAGTTTTATTTTAATATAATTCTGTTTTTAATGTTGTTGGTTCGCCGTGGAAGGCTTTTTGTCGACAGTTTGTGGTTTTGTTGCTTTCTTCCCCCCCCCCACAATTTTCTAAATGTTTGTAATATAGATCAAGCAACCTAAACAAGGCCTAGGACTGAGCATAACCTACACAAAGCCTTGGACTGATTTACCTATCAATGAAATCAAAAGAAGATCCTTGTAGGTTGTAGCACACATAGAGTTCAGACTGTGCTTTCTTAAAGTCGACAGTAAATAGTCATTAATATTTATGTGTGTATCCCTGTACCTTACTTGCAGTGGAATGAAAGGGTCAGCTGCCAAACATGCACGGCATCCCTGCTACTGATGAAACAAAACTTTTACTTTTTTGGACAACTTTAACAGAACTGAAAGGAAATACAATTTCACTTGGGTTATGGAGAAATATCTGTGATGAAAACTTTGAATAAGTACCCATAGAGCTGAAATGTGTGTGGTTTACCAAGCTCATATCATGTAACTGGTTGCTCTGTGTGGTTTCACACGCTACTATAACTTGTCATTTCGTGTGATTTACCAAGCTCATATAACTGGTCATTCTGTGTAGATTCACTAGCTCATATAACTAAATAAAATAATCTCTATTTTATTTTTTGGTTAGGGAGTGTTTCACTAATTCACCCTTGATTTTTAAAGACATGAAATAAATGAATGAAACAAAGTTTTTCATATAAATCCTGTATATGCATTTTTTAACTATTTTATTTTATATTAAATTCTAATGTCCCACCCTCTTCTACACCACTGATTCATTTCACCAATTATTTCAGAAAAACAAAAGAAAATATTATGCACCAAACGCACTTGCAATATTTAAAAAAAAAAAGAATCTCATTAAGGGCATTTATCGGAATTTCATGAAATTAGTGGCATCATATTTCCTTCATCTTCCCCTTGAAAAAAGGAAAAAAAGTGATTTTTGGGGGATGAGGTGGTTGGGAGCTGAAAATTTGAAAGAATGTGTTATCTACAACAAGATTATGTGCCAAGTTTCAGCTCGGTAGTTTGATGGAACGTGGCTAAATTAGACAAGATGGCTAGTTTTTCCCTAAACACACAAAAGCAAAGTTTAGATAAAGGATTTAAAAAGATCAATGTTTAGTTTAACGATGAAATTTTAAATAATTAAAAAAATATTACTTTTAAAAATGTGCCCTAAATATTATTTAATCACAATCATCTATTGTGCATGAATAAATATAAAAATGAATAGGCAATTTATAATATCAGGAATAATTGAGGACTTGTTTCTCTCTATATTATATAATTAGAGAGAGATAAAACAAAAGGTTACATTAATAAATTTCCATAAAGACCATATTAAAATAAGTATACCTAATGGTAATCAAAGAAAAAAATATAAGCAACAAAAATGATTAAATTTTGCAATCACAAAAGAATCAATCATTTGTACTATTGTAAATATTTTTAAAAATTGATATTTTGTAAATGTTCAAGATAAATTTAACTTAAATTTGAGCCAACAGTTTTCAGAATGAGCTTCTCAAAACCATAATTATTGATATTTTGGTAAAAAAAATTGTCTGCAGCACAATAACTAAATAAATAAATGTATGCATTTTATTTAGCAGGCAAAATCCAATATAAAATGTTTATCTATTCTTCATTCAAGTTTAATACCATCATGTATTTAAAAGACCAACAGTCTACAAACAAGAATATAACATCATGAAAAAGTAGGGGATGATTTGGAACTGTAGGAGATTAAATAACATGCAGCGAAGGAGCCTGAACAGAGTGTCAGGTGATAGGAATGTTAATGACAAACATTGAAAGAGCAGCAACAAACCTATCCTTGATGTCCTATGCTTCATTGAATACATTATTGCATTATGATGGATATTAACATAAATTTGACAAAAACAATAATAATACATTATTTAATTATATTATTTATAAGACATTTTGTGTTTCTTTAGTTAGTTTTTATAATTTACATACAATGAATGTAAATTATCAGTAAATAGCTTAGTTGTATTTGATTGATAAATACATTTTTTCTATTTATATGGCAAGATTAAAAACAGAATATTGGATCTCACTATATCGTTCTTCAAATTACAACTTATACAGTGAAAATGAAGTAAATTGAAGTAACAAGACTATATTTTATATCAAACATAATTTTAAAATAACAATAGAAATGTAAAAAGTACAACATCATGAGGATGCAAATATTTAAGTAATTTCTTTCTTGGAGAATAAGTTGTGAATCTAAGGAAGCACCAAGAACTACCTATGGCATTTAATCTATAACTGATTGTCCTAATAGCACTATAACCTACTTCTCTCCACTGCTTCAGCAGTTTCAGTCGCTGAGCGGAGTGCAACACTTTTAACAAAGCGTAATAACCGATTTGATTTATTTGGATTTAGAGTGTGATAAATATTTGTGATGTTCCCTGGTAGTGGTACCATGTCGACAGGTTGACAATATGTCATCTTTGTCTCCTTCTTTCAAGGCATGTAATTTCCAAGCATATGAAAATGAGGCCACCTGAAATTAATTTCAAAATAATAATGCAACAGGATATTTAAAAATAGATTAATATTGAGTACTTTGTGAACATGAGGGATTTATTTCTATTTAAATAGCACTTACTGGAATGAAAGAGTCCTTTTTATTCTCTTCTTCCAATTTCTTAAGTTCATCTGGACTCACTAGAGGCAGCCGTAAGTGCTTGACAGCATCTCTTGCAACTTCATGGGGCTGCTTCCCATTCACAGCCTAAGTTAAACATTTCTCTTTTATAATTCACTCATTTTTGATAAAGATAAAAAAAAAGCATAAGCTAACAATGCCACACACAATGTTATTGCACTCATTTTGACGGCCATATTTAAATGACTAAAAAATTGGCAAGATATTCAGGTAAGTAGATGTAGAATGCCAACAAGCTAGGACTAAGATTGACAACACAGGGAAAAAAATATGGCGCAAAAGAAACTTAGCACATAACAATAGAAAAAGAACTGCAACCATGCAAACGGCTCCCATAAAAGCAGCCAATAGCAAGAGGTGGCAATATTATGGCTGTTGCATCAAACACCAGTTAAACCACAATGACCGAAGAATGCATTGGCAAGGTCACATAAACAGAATTGCCATCATACACTTCCATTTGACCAACAAACTCTTGGCTCCTCTTGTTCCCATTTAACCTTCCAAATATATTCTAAACATGGTCATTCTGTTCATGACCCACTACATTGTGTATGTGATGCACATGTTCTTTTTACACTTTACACCCCACTTATATCATGCCTTCCCCTTAAGACAAATTACTTTTAAGACAGACTGTTAGGCTGAGTCTGTTTTTTGCATTGATATGCCTCTTTTGCTTTGACTTTCAATGAGAAATCATGAGATGGCTCTAGTTTTTTTTAATACAGTAAACAGGATAGTGATGGTTCCGAAACAATTTCATATTCATTACAACATCCGGCTAAATAGAGATTTATACTAGATTTATGAGAGGAAAAGAAAGGTTAAATAAAAGCTTTAAAAAAAAAAAAGAAAATTAAAGCCACTAAAGGTGATGGAAAAATAAATCTTTCTTCAAGAAATAAATTACTTAAATTCAAATAATAATAATTTTTTGGTTATAATTAAATAAATTAATATTAAAAATCATTTTAAGATGTCAGTTTTATAAATCAACAGAATTTTAATAATAATGATGGTTATTTTAGCTTCTAATACATATGGTCTGTAAAAAAAAAGATGAAAGAATAATCTTACAGAGCTGAATTTGGCCCATTCTTTGACAGCTTTGTACAAATCTATTTCATCCATCGTCAACCTGCTTGACCGTACAATGGAAACAAGAGTATCTTCACTTATCTCCAGAAAACTTTTGGTCTTTAATATTTCCTGTCAAAATAGGAAATTTTATTGAGCTATTCCATAATTATGATACTTTGGAGAAAGAGTGTAAATAAAGGCTCTAAAGTAGGAGTGATGTTTTCACAGTGATTACCTCCCTTCATGAATATTTTGATGTAATCAAATTATAATTCTTACTTTTAAGTCAATATTCAATACAAAGTTCTACAAAGATAAGGCTTATTTGGGGAATAAAGTGACATAAGGAAAAGTGTGTAAAATAGTGTTCCCCAAATGCAGGTTCACACACCATGAATAGTTATGGGCAAACAAAAAGCAAATATCATTAATAAATCTGCCAACCATCCCTGGAACCATTTTGAAACTTGTCAACCAGCCCGCCAGACCAGACTTAAAAGTTTGGGAAAGACTGTGTTAGAAGACTGCATAAAAGGTACATCATTGGAAATAAAAACACTTAGCATAGAATAAAGTGTTTAATTTAATGTGTCCATGTGAAATTATTAAATTAATCCCCACCCTTTATTCCTCATTGTTAAGTAGACGACAAATTTACGTCATCTTTCCCCATGAATGAACTTTAGCTGACCCCAAGTTCGGTACCGCGTTTTGGGTGTGGCTAATTAAAAATAGTCTCCTTTGACCTTGTTTACAAATAAAAACAAATCTATACACTGTATTATTAGAATTCTGTAGAAATATCGAGACTAATCAAGAAAGGAATACAATGTGTAAGCCTGTTCTAGAAATGTGTCTAAAACAGGCTATATCTACGCCTCTAGAGGGATTGACGAAGGAGAGATATTTGCTATCATGGTTACGATACGAAGATTTGTGAATTTATATTTACTTTCTTTGTGTATGTACCTTCTTTTTCAACATTGTACCCGTAGAAGCCATCATTATACTTTAAGTCAGTAGCTTTAGTTTTTATTTCTTTTTGAATTTATAATTTATTATTAACTTAATAAAATTATTAATTGTAATTAGCCCTAGTTTGGGTATCGTTTCTTTATTATTGTATTTAGTTTATGGTATAGTCTTTTGTTGCGTACTGTTTGTCAACGAGCCATATAAATAAATAAAAGATTAAATTCTCTATACTTACAACAGTACGTAACACTCGTTATATAATATTTATCTAGCACATATAACTGGAATTTACTTACAGCAGTATTTTCTTCAACAAAAGTCATGGCCTGCTCTTTCAAATCATTCTGATTGTACGTTACTGCTGCCTGCATTATGTCACATGCATTTGATACTGAAATGTTCTCTTTTAAGAAGTCTACACAAAGCTGCATTCATTAAAAGAATAGAAACATTACAAATACTTGTTTGATCATTTTAAATGGGAGAAATTTAGATCAGAACATTTTCCCAAAATTTACATTTTAATCATTGATCCATTAAATTTAATATTTAAATGGTTATTTTAACCTCAATTATATTTATCATATCAGTGTACAGTATATGCATCACATACACGTGAATGTAACATAATTCTTTTCATTTCAACCCTATAGTAAATATGGCTAATTGTCTGATGAAAGACAGACATTGGGTGTTGCCTAAACCAAAAAATTGTTGTAAGAGTTTAAAAATAAGAGCGTGTGTGGGGGGGTTAATTTGCTAGGATTTTTAAAGTTTTATTTCAATCTTAAAATGAAAAATTAAAAACATTGAATAAGTAACGACAGGATTTATTTGACAAGAATGTGTTAAAATCTTTTACTACCCAGTAAACTTATTTATTGAAATTTCTTGACAATAACAAATGTGCCTGTGCACAAGACTGATGGAGAGAAAAAGAGGATGACATGTTGATTGAAAAAAAGCAACAAAAAGAAAGAAAAAGAATGATTAAAAAAAAAAAACGTTGACAAATGAAAAGTGTTGGACTGCGATAAAGCTTTGTCTGGTTTTAGCGCCCTCTCCTATATTTTTTCTGTTTTAGGTAAGATATGTATATTGATATTATGTAAATTTAATTTATACTTATTTAAATGTGTTTTGTTTGTTTGTACTGATGAAGGCATGTACCGAAACGTTTAATTGTGTATAATGTATAATTATTATTAAAGCGTAACTCATATTGTTCTATTGACACAATTTGTTCGTGTCTTATTAATCTATTTGACAAATGAAAAGAATGTTATTCAATTTAACAGAATGTCAAAGACATCAACTTTTTTAACCATAAACAAATATTTTTAAAGGACTACATCACTTATACACCACTTACTGCACAACTTTCATGTTGGTACAATTTTAGCTACTTAAAAAATCTGAAATGATGTGTAATTGATGTACATAAGAATTAATGCAGGATGTTATAAGAAAGTAAAAGTAGTTTTGGTTAGCCTATAATTTAGGATAGCAAAGTTTGAATATACTTGAATTTTTTCCTAGTAAATTTAACTGAAGACATTTGAATAGATACTAGCTATCTATGCCATCTCCTTAAAAATTGTTGATATAAAAATATAGAATCTGCTTACATCTCTCAGTTCATCAAGCCCATATTCCAGTGAGGTGGCCAAAACATCAGTGGCCTGAAAAAATTTATTCATATTTAAAGTAAGAAAAAACCAAAAATGCTTTGACCACAAGATATCTGTTAAAAAATAATTACCAAATGCATAAAATTTCATTAAATTTTTTCATCTCTTTTACATAAATAATAAAAAAATCAATTCATGTTTACTCACAGTGTTTAATGAAAGTGTGACACAATTAGTATAAATAAATTCCAGCATGGCCAAAAATATATCTGATGACATGTCTGACAATACCAATGGAACATCTTTCTCTGGTTTGTCTGCAAACATAGCCTTAAAAACTGCACACCGAGCCGACAGAATACATCGATGAGCAAAAATGTGCTTTTTGTTTGGTCCTATAACAAATTTAATATCACTGCGGATGAAAGAAAAATAGCAAATAAAATATCAGGCCAATATAAATGAGCTTAAGGATGTAGGCCTATTCAAAAATATTTGTTTTTCCTCTATAGTATCAGGGTTGACCAGTAAAATATAATTGGAAATGGACCTCACTAACTGAGTTATCGACCCCAGAAACTATTGTTTATTGACATTTCCCTTTCAACCAATCACATTTCAATCTAAGAACACCAATCAAACTCACAATTATGGACTCAAACAAAGTTCACCCCAGACAGAGTGATTATTATACTTCGACAGTAGCCATCAACTAAGAAGGATTTTCAGAAATGCCACCACCAAGGGGATGAAAAGTGGTGTCAATTTTTTATGAGGATAAAAATTTCACAGAACCCAATGTTACAGACATAAAATTTAGTAATTAGATTTTTATTTAAAAATAAGAGGCAATTCATGTAATACGTACCTACAAAAATTGAAAATTTCACCACCCCTTTAGGCTTAAGGCACTTAAGGTAAATATGGGACACAAGTTTTTTTTTAAACAGTCATACCAAATTACAAAATCTTTTTTAAAAAGTCACTTATTATATTATACAATTATAACTATCTATGAGGAATCTATCCATTGACTGTTTGCAATGTAAATAAAAAGTTGTTTAATATTTAAACTTTAGATTAGGCCTAGCCGCTAGGCCTTACCTGCTTATCATCATATTTGACCAAAATGATGATCATGCACTAAGATGCACAGTAATTTGAAAGAAGAAGTAGACATTGAAAAATGAGAAGAAATGAGTAAATCAGAAAAAAACCAGAAAGGGAATATATTTACATGTCATTGTAAGTATAATAACCACAGAAAAAATTTTAAACTAAGACTTTATTGTGTTTAAAAGTTCTTCATGCAGTTCATTTACATCCACATGTATCATGTAGGCCTACATGATAGTATTGATAGCCTCCCGTTTTTTAAATATGAACATCCAAACAAAATATTAATAAATGTAAATCAATAATATCATATTCATATGCACAGTGTCACCATTTCAATTGTCTTGTTTTCAATATTACTTGTCAAAATGCACACAATACCAAAATTACACAGTACATTCACAAACCTCAGTCTAGTAGCGAATCTTCTGATAACATGCTGTTTGTCACTGTTGTTGAAACACAGAGTACTGTGTGTAGCAGACTGATTAGCATTGCCAAATGCAAAAGGTCTGTGTCACACACATCCTGTTCATTACATAATTTGATGCCAATGTGGCATCACATTTACGGTATACTATTTGTTGTAGGGAAAAACACAATTTTGACTTAGCCTATAGAATCCCTTGCGCCTTTGACATGATTTATTTACTCTATTATTTCCAAGTCCCAAGTCCAAGTTTTTTTGTTGTTTTTTTTTGGTTAAGAAATCCATCTAGGGGTAAGCTAGCCAATTACTAATATAAGTATAGTATAGTATAGATAATAGTTCATTCTAGATATATACAAACCTGAAATCTTTATTATTGACCAACTTTTTCATCATTCTCGCAAATTCAGTGATATCTGCAACACGTAAACTGTCTCCAACCGATGACTGCATATCTGCTTTCTTTTGAGGTGAACTAGACATTGCTTTCGGCTTTCACTAAACTAAAAAGAGAAGTGTAATTTCTTTTATTTTTTATTACTCATCAAAATCTCCTAAAAATACCGCTGAGCATCGATGATTCAAAGTAATGTAGTTTATTACATGTGTAGGCTATATTATATTAGTGCAGCCTTATTAAATTAGTGACTTTCATTTCTTTGAACTGAAGTATTAGGTCTTAGCAGTAAAAAAAATTATGTTGCTATGGACCCTCAAGCCCAAGCCTAAAACTAAAACTGTGGCCCAAACTCAAGACACAAAGCAAAAGATTTAAATATGTTACCAAGTAGTAAACAAAAAAAGCGGAAACCAAACGAGAAAATTTACAGTTTAATCAAATGTAAAAACTATTTAAGCCATATATGTATACATTTAAATGATTGGTAAAATAATTATATAATTAGTCATTAGTTGGCCAAACAATTAATTTAGAAAAAAAAGGAGAAAAAAGAGTCAATCTGGTTTAAGTATAAAAACAACAACTTCATAATGTATTTTACGAAACAAACTCCTCAAATTAAATTGTAAACAAAAATTCGCGGTGGTACTAAGCCCAGATCCGGAGCGAACAGAAAAGCAACCATCTTCTTCTTCTTCTATATCTTAAGGGCCCACGATCAATTTATTGATCATTTTGGCTCCTATGCATGTAGATGGGATTTGCAATGTTTCTGTTACTGGTGGTGATGAGGAAATTATGCACTAGGGGTTTGAAGGCTTGAGGCAATAGACACAAATGTGTCTAGTGTTGTCGCCTCAACTGTTCCTTTTGACTTTGAAAGATGGTTCCAGTCCCTGATTGTCTTAACCATGACTTAATTAATTGCATTATAATTTATAACTACTAAAACTTAATCATATCTTTGAATTAAACAATGGAAAATGAAAATCTTGATGCGCATAATCTTGATTTGCCATTATCAGCAAATTTTCACGAAATAGAAGTTGTTCACTTCGTTTTGGACCTCGCCTGCTCGTTTGAAAAGAAATCTTTTCAAGGCGCCCTGACAATTTTTTGTCGTATTTCCAGTTCTAAAAAAGGGCAGAAGGAAAACAAAAGGAAATTATCAAAATTTGAGAGTGATGAAAATCTATTCAAAATAGAATGTCAAAACTGTAATAACCCTGGACCTTACCTCGTTGAAGTAAAAGACACCTTTGCCTTTACAATTACTTCTTCAGAAGGAAAGAATGAACACATCACCAGCAGCATCAATGATATTGGCAATGACAAGAATTGTATTAGCAAAGACCAATCCAATTTTTTGAATGAAAGCATTAGATGTTCAGACATTATTCTTGACTGTTCTACAATTGATGTAGAGCATTGCATTTTGTATGATATGAATATAACTTCAGAAATAAGTATTGATGAAATCGAAGGAACAACGAAGCCAATGGAACATTTGTGTGAAAGTGCAAGCCTACCAGAAAAATCAAATCTGCATATTTCTAAATGTTGTATGGATAAATACTTAAAGAATTATACTTTGTTAAACGCTTACAGAAATGAAAATTTAACCTATCTGAAATATAAAGTTTTAGAGCATAGACTCGTTATTCATTTACCACAAGAAGTAAAGGATAAATCTGAACATATTATCAAGATTAACTTCAAGACACGCCCAGAAGGACCATCACTGATGTGGACATCAGATCAGTCTAATATGTAAACTTTAAAAAATGACTATTATTTGGATTAATTATTTTATATTAATAAGGCATACAAGTCTTTAACTTTAAGGAAGGATTAAATAAGAGGATTGGATTTTGATTTTTAAAAAATATATAACAGAACTTGTGCCATTTTTAAATTTTTGGACGGCTTATTGACCCACTCCCCATCAACCTATCGAGCTGAAACTTGGCACATATAGACTCCTATCAAATGACAACACATACTTTCCAATTTTCAGCTCTATCCCCCAACCCTATTCCCCCAAAAATAAATGAAATTATTAACAAAAAAACACAAATGAATATGTGCGTAATACTTTATTTAGTTTTTCTGAAATAGTTGGTGTAATAAATCTGCTGTGTGAAAGTAAAAGCTGTTGGGACATTAGAATATTAATATAAAAAATAAAATAAAAAATGCATATAAAGGATTTATACGTAAAACTTTGTTTTTAGGGGTTGTTTCATTAAATCCTGTATGTTATCTTCACTTTTGTTTGTGTGTTTCTGTGTTTAAGGTAAAAATCTTCTGACAGCTAACTGAACCATTTCCGATCATCCTATTGAACTAAAATTTGGCACATAGACTCGTTGCTGATGATTCTTTCAAATTTTTAGCCCAACCCCCACCTCCAGTCCTCCAGTCACTGAAAATTTTTTGTTTTTTCCTGTTTTTTAAAGGGAAGATAAATGTTCAATGGTTGAGTATTTAGGTATGGAGATTTATTGTCTAGCTGTTGCTGTGTATTTTTGAAAGGAAATTGAAGGAAATATTAAACATGTTTTCACCAGAAGTACCCATTTACGTAACCCCTTCTTAATAAAAATGATGATCAATCACGTGCAATTACATAAATGCAAACGGAAATGCATATAAAGGATTCAATAAAAAATCTTTGTTTTCAGAGGTTGTTTCATTTCATTTTCATTTAGACATTTTAAAAAATATGAAATAAAAAAAAACCATCAACCCTTGCAATCAATTTGAAAAAACTGTGCACATTAATTTTTTTGATGTTATGGGGGGGTGGGGGGTTAAGAGGTGGGGAGAGGTATATTTAATTTAATGGAACTCTGCATAGAGTCAAACTTGTAACTGCTGGTGGCAAATAGATAGAAATTATTGAGTAAATATGAAGTAGGAAAACTAACACTATTTATAACTTGTTTATCACTTTTTCGCATAATTAAAAGCAGTGGATTGAAATTCTAAATTTGAATGCTCATTTTATGCTCTGAAAAGAAAAAATCCATTATACCGGTGTATAAAATAAGAGCCATAAGGAAGGATTAGTTCCTTCAGCATTCAAACATTATTATAAATTATAAAGAAATACATTTTTTTGTGAGCAGATACTCTTTTTATTCCCAAAAAAGTCAGGGGGCTAACAATATGCTTTCAGATGGTTCATGAAAAGTCTGGAGATGAAATGCATCAAATTTTTAGAATAATTGAAATTAGACATAATTAGCCTTCAACTTTATTAGAATCTTTTCTCAAGTTTGCAATTGATTTTATAAAAACTTTAAAAAAAATCATTTTATTATGTTCAAGGATACTAAAATATACTAATGTGGTAATTTTTTAATGCATTCTATTTCTAGGCCCTGTGTTTTTACAGTTGGGCATCAATTAAATAACAGATCTTTGTTTCCATCCCAAGACATGCCCCAAGCCATGTCTACATGGCACTGTTTTATTACATTAGGACCAACTGAGAATGACAAAACAACAGTATTGATGACAGGGGAGGCACCAGCCAATGTCATAAAAAATGACAGTGAGCAGAAATTATGATCATTCACTTAAGATTATCCTGAAATATTATTATAAATAGGTCTAAAATAATTATGTAAACATATTTTAAATTTTGATTTTTAAAGATAATTCAGTGTAAAAAAATTATTAGTTGTAAAGATCTTTGTGCAAATGAATGTAATCACTTAAGCACTCAGTCTGATCCACACCACCACCCAGACCCACACCACCACCCAGACCCACACCACCACCCAGACCTACACAAGCACCCATACCCACTCAGTCACACGTCAACTCTCAGACCCACGCCATATCCAGACCCACATCAAAACCTAGCCCCATATCAACACCAACACAAAACCTAGAACCATACCAACACCCACATCCACCACAATCCATATCCAGCCCAACTACATTATTTGATGCAATGTGCCCCTCAAACGATGTACAGAGGAACATTTAATCTTAATGGTATTTTTATGATGATCTTTTGAATATTTTCACTTTTAACTTACAGAAAACGAGACGGTGTATCAATTTTCCAACAGCTACCCCATGCCTGCTTCAACTTTTGCATTGGCTGTTGGCTCTTGGACATTAACAGATCTCTCAGGTGTAATACAAGCTAATGAGCGCTCAACTGGCAGGTATATAAGTTTAGCATTTTTTCCATTTGTTAGAGGTATGACAAGAATAGTAGAAGAAATGCTTCTTGGCTGACATGCAGTACCATTGTTTTCTCTACTTGCTATTATCTCCCTTTACTTTCAGAAAGGAATGGGGAATTTTAGAGAGAGTAAATCAATGATTTAATCTTCCTTTAAAAATTGAATGTGTTACAAACCATTACAATATTCCAAAAGGCAAAATGAAAAGAATAACATAGCAGAGCTTGATTTATTTTGATTCATTAATGATACACTGAGCAGCGAAAGGTTTAACAGTGTTTCAAATCCAAAAATAACGGAACAAATCATGGATGCCTACAAAGAACATGGATCACTTAAAACAATGACAGTCAGAGATTACCAACATAATAAAACTAGTCTGACACTGTTAGTGAGGGTTGACTTTCCAAACTCTCCCCCCACACCTTTAGTGAGGGTTGACTTTCCAAACTCTCCCGCACACACCTTTAGTGAGAGTTGACTTTCCAAACTCTCCCCCACACACCTTTAGTGAGGGTTGACTTTCCAAACTCTCCCCCACACACCTTTAGTGAGGGTTGACTTTCCACCAGACTTCCCCACACACCTTTAGTGAGGGCTGACTTTTCAGACTCCCCCCACACCTTTAGTGAGGGTTGACTTTCCAAACTCTCCTCCCACACACCTTTAGTGAGGGTTGACTTTCCAAACTCTCCCCCACCCCATTAGTGAGGGTTGACTTTCCAACCTCCCCCCCCCCCC